ACTGTGAGGGAATAATTCTGTCTTTACTGCCTAAATAATTTAACCCTTTCTGTGTGTTGACGTTTCGTTTAAAGTCTGTTATCTGTCTGTCTTAAGGAATGGGAAGTCTCAGCTATTGTTGATGTAGTGGCAATTTCTTATGTACCTTTATATGGTAAACCAAATGCTTCTGAAAGCATTGTCTAACACTACTGTACCAGTTCTTCATATTTGCTGTTTCATCTGTTGTCTCTAAATGAGGATTAATTATTCTCAAGCGCTTCAAGGCCACAGAGCTGAATTTGCAGACTATGTTGAAACTTACTCCTCTTCAACACAAAGTTTGAACTTCCATATTCTGATAACCATTATACTTTCTACAGCTCAAGGACACAGGTGTACTAATAACCAATATGAGATATCCGTGTGAAAGCCAGAATGTCGCTGAGGCGTTCCGCCTAACTACACAAAAAACTCCTGTCTGCCCCGGCCCTATCCTTGTTATAATAAGCTTTTGCTTCTGTGACTATGCGCACACTCCCTGGCAGACTACCCTGTACTCTGTGAGAGCTTGTGCCTTCCGAGGGAGGCCGCCCTCGAATAAGAACCAGAAAGACAACTCTGTTTGTTTCACCAGTTTATTGATGGATCATTCTAATTGTATATCCTCCACCAAGTATTGACCTAGGTCTAAGATTTCCCATTACAATTGAACATTACCAGTTTTTATGGACCCAGTCCAACCTCTCGTTCAACAGAGCCTAAGAGTCAGATAAGTGATTCAGTGGTCTCCAGGTGTTTAACCACGCCCCAAATATGTTGTTTACTCCCCTCCTGTAAACTAGTAAAAGGTCTATCGAAGAGAGAAGGGCTGATCAGAATGGCATGACCAACCCACCTGTGCAGTCCAAAAACTTTGCTGCCCCCTGTGACTTGTGATATGAATTGCCTCCCGGCCCCGTTTGACCTTGTAATAAACCACATTGTTTGACCATCCAACAAGCTCCACTCTCCTCGTGTCTCTCCTGAGTCCTGACTCTCTCATTGCCTGCAAGAATTTCCCCTTTAACAGATACTGTCGGCCCCTTGATCTAGGCGGTCTCTCTCTCCTATGTGAAACGCGTTGAAGATCGTTTTGGGAAAAGAGGAGTCAATAACAGAGTGCAAGAGATAAAAGGGTATTCAGCACATGGAACATATTACAACAACCTTATCACGAAGCCAACTCCTGGACACCTACCTGATTTATCGATATTTTTATGGGCTTTCCCTATTTATAGTAAAGCCTCAGTGGAGGTCATGCTGTTGGATTGGCCCACTGTGATCACCCCCCTGGAACTGTTACGCCAGCAGGTAGCTCCACCCGCTGAGCTTTAGACCCCATTATTTATCCAGATCCACGCTTTTAATCACGAATGGCGAAAACACCAATTAAAGCCGGATTGCGCTGAGCGTTAAACCTCTGCCCCTGCCTGCCCGGGTAATTGGGTGTTCCAATGTGCAAAGGATACATTCACCCCCACAGTTAACTCCTGCCATGGCTGAAATCACCACATATGCTTGTGATGGCATTTGAATAGATAATGACATTTTCTCATTTAAAAAATAGTTAAAAGAGACAGGAGGTGGCGGTGCCAGGAGGGCCAGCAAGGTGTAAAGGGTAATTAAGCATGTGTGTGCTTGTGCATGTGTGTGTTTTGGTAAGACCCACAGAAAAGGGAAACATCAACAGGACGAACCTTGTCACTGTTAAACATATTGAAATCCTTATGGCGGCTGTGGTGTAAATCGCCCTTTGTAATGGTAGATGTTTAACAGACCCCTATCTTGAACTGCTCTCATTTATCCATCCCATAAATATTTTCACTGTTACACCTAACAATATTGTAATGATGTGATAGTCTCATCCACGTTCATCTCTGAGGATGTACACAGGGAGGTGGTTCGACAGCATATCACAGCTGGACGTTTCCCCTCCGCTGCTGAAACCCAGGGACTCATTCACCAGCGAGGCAGACTTGCTCCCAGCTGCCTGCCTGCATGCCTCCTCCCTGGGTGTACCAAGTCCGCAAAATCAGCAGCCTAAGCAGCTGCTGAGCCTGCCCAGCTTAGCATGCATTATTGATTTACATTGAAACTGTTAACAAGAAGAGGTGTGGGCCCTTGTTAGGCTCCACCGGTGGATCATGGCATCAGAATTGGCCAGGTAAGGGTTAGATTCCCCTCTGGAGCTGGAAATGTGGGTTTTTCTTCTATTATTCTAATCATAACACTTTGTTTTAAGCTCCCTCTTTAACTTCATGTAACCACCTTAATGCATGGTAACTACTACACCATAAAAGTTTATAAGCCTACTTTTTAGTGTGTTAGGAAGGCATCCTCCTGATGTTCATTTGTCTAAATGTGCTTGATTCACACTATAGCATACGTTGTACTCCTATTAAAGATACATTCTTAGACATAAACAAATCTTTACGTTGTGTTATAAAGCATTTAGTTATTTGATTATGTAACCAGTTTATAGAGGCTTTCATATAAGCAAAAGGGTTTTAGTTACTAATGACAAGAACTGAAAATGCCATACTGTAACGTAGGGGGATACTGCATGCACATGCAGTAACTATATAGGATTAGATGTTGCTGAAATGTAGTTGATCACTGCTTTTTGTGCAGTGCACAATCTCATTTACTGTATCCATTGTGCACAGTGGATGAAAGGTAGCGTAGTTAGGAGTGTAATCTCTTTTTTGTTGAACTCAAAGTGATACTTCTGTTTCCTTATTGTGAGATCCAAAGGCCTTGGATTAGTTAATTATTATTCCATAAGAAGGAAAATAAGACTGTGAAATGAACGCTTTATTCCTTCTTGTGATACTTTATCTGCCTTTTTCACGGCAACACACTTTAGCTGACTGGGCTTATTCAGAGTGACTTTCCGAGATTGTCTCCGCCAAGAGTCCCTCCAAGGCCCCCCTGCATTAACCCATAGCATGTTACAACATTTTCAGCTTTGTCACTGTTCGTTTCCAATGGGGCATTGTGTCTTGGCTGTACGGGCTTGGACAAGATGCTCGGCAGAAGAAAAGATACCTAGGTTGGCTCATCTATTTAGCTTTTGTATGAACTGGACTGTCTGCCTTAATTGTACATAACACTCATTGTTGCCTGAACTCAGGAAGCTAGCCAAAAACAACA